GAGGGGATGGATATGGAGGGGAGGAAGGGAGTGATGGGGATGAAAGTAGGAAGGGAGGAAGGGAGTGAGGGGATGGGGATGGAGAGAAGGGAGTGAGGGGATGGGGATGGAAGTAGGAAGGGAGGAAGGGAGTGAGGGGATGGAATGAGGGGAGGAGGGAGTGAGGGGATGGGGATGGAAGTAGGAAGGGAGGAAGGGAGTGAGGGGATGGATATGGAGGGAGGAAGGGAGTGAGGGGATGGGGATGGAAGTAGGAAGGGAGGAAGGGAGTGAGGGGATGGATATGGAGGGGAGGAAGGGAGTGAGGGGATGGGATGGAAAGTAGGAAGGGAGGAAGGGAGTGAGGGGATGGATGGAAGGGAGGAAGGGAGTGAGGGATGGGATGAAGTAGGAAGGGAGGAAGGGAGTGAGGGGATGGGTATGGAAGGGAGGAAGGGAGTGAGGGGATGGGGATGGAAGGAGGAAGGGAGTGAGGGGATGGGTATGGAAGGGAGGAAGGGAGTGAGGGGATGGGGATGGAAGGGAGGAAGGGAGTGAGGGGATGGGGATGAGGGAGGAGGAGTGAGGGGATGGGGATGGAAGGGAGAGGAAGGGAGTGGGATGGGGAAGTGGAGAGGAAGGGAGTGAGGGATGGGGATGGAAGGGAGGAAGGGAGTGAGGATGGGTGGAAGGAGGAAGGGAGTGAGGGATGGGGATGGAAGGGAGGAAGGGAGTGAGGGATGGATGGAAGGAGGAAGGGAGTGAGGGGATGGGGATGGAAGGGAGGAAGGAGTGAGGGGATGGGAAGGAAGGGAGGAAGGGAGTGAGGGATGGGGATGAAGGGAGGAAGGGAGTGAGGGGATGGGGAATGGGGATGGAAGGAAGGGAGTGAGGGATGGATATGGAAGGGAGGAGGGAGGGTATGAAGGAGGAAGGGTGAGGGATGGGGATGGAAGTAGAAGGGAGTGTGAGGGATGGAAGGGAGGAAGGGAGTGAGGGGATGGGATGGAAGGGAAGGAAGGGAGTGAGGGATGGGGATGGAAGGGAGGAAGGGAGTGAGGGGATGGAGGAAGGAGGAAGGAGTGAGGGGATGGGTATGGAAGGGAGGAAGGGAGTAGGGATGGGTATGGAAGGGAGAAGGGAGTGAGGGGATGGGGATGGAAGTAGGAGGGAAGTGAGGGATGGAAGGGAGGAAGGGAGTGAGGGGATGGGATGGAAGAGGAAGGGAGTGAGGGGATGGAATAGGGAGAGGTAGGAAGGAGTGAGGGGATGGGGATGAAGGGGGAGGAAGGGAGTGAGGGATGGGTATGGAAGGGAGGAAGGAAGTGAGGGGATGGGGATGGAAGGGAGGAAGGGAGTGAGGGGATGGGGATGGAAAGGAGTGAGGGGATGTATGGAAGGAGGAAGGGAGTGAGGGGATGGGATGGATGAAGTAGGAAGGGAGTGAGGGGATGGAAGGAGAAGGAAGGGGAGTGAGGGGATGGGGATGGAAGGGAGGAGGGAGTGAGGGGATGGGTAGGAAGGGAGAAAGGGAGTGAGGGGATGGGATGGAAGGGAGGAAGGGAGTGAGGGATGGGATGGAAGGGAGGAAGGGAGTGAGGGGATGGGATGGAAGGGAGGAAGGGAGTGAGGGATGGTATGGAAGGGAGGAAGGGAGTGAGGGGATGGGGATGGAAGGGAGGAAGGGAGTGAGGGGATGGGATGGAAGGGAGGAAGGGAGTGAGGGGATGGGGATGGAGGGAGGAAGGGAGTGAGGGGATTGGGTATGGAAGGGAGGAAGGTGAAGTGAGGGGGATGGGGATGGAAGGGAGTGAGAGGGATGGGATGGAAGGGAGGAAGGGAGTGAGGGGATGGGGATAAGGGAAGAGGGAGTGAGGGGATGGGATGGAAGGAGGAAGGGAGTGAGGGGATGGGGATGGAAGGGAGGAAGGGAGTGAGGGGATGGGGATGGAAGGGAGGAAGGGAGTGAGGGGATGGGGATGGAAGGGAGGAAGGGAGTGAGGGGATGGGGATGGAAGGGAGAAGGAGTGAGGGATGGGGATGGAAGGGAGGAGGGAGTGAGGGTGGGTATGGAAGGGATGGAAGGGAGGAAGGGAGTGAGGGGATGGGGATGGAAGGGAGGAGGGAGTGAGGGATGGGGATGGAAGGGAGGAAGGGAGTGAGGGGATGGAAGGGAGGAAGGGAGTGAGGGGATGGGGATGGAAGGGAGGAAGGGAGTGAGGGATGGGGATGGAAGGGAGGAAGGGAGTGAGGGATGGGGATGGAAGGGAGGAAGGGAGTGAGGGGATGGGGATGGAAGGGAGGAAGGGAGTGAGGGGATGGGTATGGAAGGGAGGAAGGGAGTGAGGGGATGGGGATGGAAGGGAGGAAGGGAGTGAGGGGATGGGTATGGAAGGGAGGAAGGGAGTGAGGGGATGGGTATGGAAGGGAGGAAGGGAGTGAGGGGATGGGGA